TGTTGATGGGTGGTGGTGGTGGTGGTGGATACGGGATGAAGTTTGGCGGGGTGGGGCGTGGCGCGCGCCTGCCGTGGCTTGGCTCGCCTGAGGGAGAGAACTGCGCAACCGGCACCTCCGCAGTAATAAAACTCCCCTCATCCCTTTGTCTTCTGTCACAAGGAGGGCGGCCCTCCAAAATTAAAAAAAAAAAGTCCTTGGCGCAGGCGAAGGGCAGAGTTGTTGCGGCCGAGGCGTTTCTCCGAGCCCGCCCACCCTTCCGACCCCTCCGGAGCGCGGCCTGCGTCGCCCGTCTGAGGGTTCCCGCTTCACGCCGCCTTTCCCCCGGGCGCGCACAGGAGCGTCCTTATTGTATGGCTCGGGCGCCTTGGCGAGTTGAGTCCGCTGTGCTGGAGAGACCGGGGGAGGGAGGTGGGGAGGGAGGGAGGTGTGCGCCCTGCGCGAAAAGCCGGGCAGCCGCCCGTCTCTCATGTGCGCAGAGGGAGCGGTGGTGGAGAGACCCCACCCTATGGCCGGACGGGAGGGACTGGTGCGTGCCAAGAACCTCCTGACTGCAGTCCTGCAGTCAGCCGGGGTTTGGTGGTACCTGCGGCGGCTGCAATTGTAATCTCCTTTTTTTTTCCTCGTTAGAGGATGTGAGAGGCATGCCAGTGCAAAGGAGGTGGTGGTGGCGGCGGCGGAGACGGGGGGCGGGCGGCTGGCTTTTGAAACCTTGGCCTTTCCTGCCTTGACCAGGGTCTTCAAATCAGCTCCCCCCCTCCTCCTCTTCCTCCATATCGGCCCATTTGCAGCAGAGCAGATAGGCCGTTGGCATTCTTCCGCGCTGCACAGACGACGAAAACGTAATGAGGAAGGGCTTGCAAACAAATGCCTGCAGTTGCTACAAGAACAAATGTTCACAGGAGAAACATAGCCGGTCCCAGACGAATGAAACCCTTTGACTGAGTGCTCTTGTTCCTCTCTTGCATTTAATGATTAATTTAGTATTGACATAGTCGACACGCTGCATTTAAACATGCTTTTACTTTTTGAAAAAGTTCCATTTTTATAGTCTTGGATTCTCCATTGGAGGGATAATTTTATTTTACTTACTGCAATATTGTAAGGAGGGATTCTGGCTCCACTGGCAGAACTGATTTTGCTCAATGTTTCAAGTTTGTAAAAACATGATTAAATAGTTATTTGAACCTCTATGTGAGACCTTTCAAATGCATTGTTTCCCATATCTAATGCATGCGAGTTTCTCAAGCTTGAAAACTAGTTGTGATTTTGTTTTTGTGACCTTGCATCTCAGATTTTAACTGCCAGTGAAATACTTCCATAGTTGCTATCCTTCAGTATACTGTTGGCAGTAGTATTTTTGAAAAAGTGTGTATGTGTTTGCTGCTGTTTAAAGTGAAGTGGAATAACACAGTTGAAAAACATGTCTTCTAAAGTTACAGTTCTAAAACAGAAAATTAACACTAAGCAAACAGTTTATTGTGAGATTATTTGGCTGTGGAAATGTAACAACAGAAATGATGAAATGTATCAGAATTATCAGACCAAAATGATAATGTAATGTTGGCTTCAGGCTTGAGAAAGAGAGAAATCCTGCTGAGAAGGTCAAGACAGCATCTTTTAAGCTATGTGAACAAGAATAAATTATTTACTATGTTTCAAATCCTTTTGAATGTTAACTTCCAGGAGGTGAGTTAAGCATTTGTATCCAAATTAATCCAGTAGTCAGGATAAGGCCAAACAATATAGCAGTGTTCTAATATTAGCTTTGCTGCCATATAGAAGGAATTAGAAAGCAGTTATTTGAAGCAGAATTTTGCCTCTGGTCTATAATATTCCAGCTTTTGCCTGAATGAAAACTTGCTAGCCACATAAAATCAACTTTACCAAAGATATTTTTGAATTTCTTCTTCCATTTCGTGTCATCTAGATGTTGGATTACATCTTCTTCTCTTTTTTTTAGCCCTAGCCAATATGGCCAGTGATAATGATCTTGGGGGTCATAGTCCAGGATATCTGGAGGGCACCAGGTTGAAGAAGTCTGTAGTATGACTTCTTGTTAACCTATTTATAATCACCAAGCTATATTAACCACTTACTAGAGGATCCTATGGTGTGATGGGTCAGGACATGGGTGCAACAGTGTTCTGGGCCTTCTCCAACACCACTCTCAGTACTTTAAAACTCCTGAGGTCATTGTCTCATCCAGAGAGAGACACAGACCCTCTTTCTGACATATGTTTCTTGTTCCTCCAGACAACATCTTAGAACATTTTTCCAGCAATTGAACTTAGAAGCAGTATTTGGGCTGCAGAATAGAAAGACCCTATCCCCTCCCTTGCTTTTATATCGTGCTTGCCCAAAGTTCTGTAGGATCAAGCTAAGTATCCACAAGGGGTTGGATCGCACTAGAACCCTGCCTTCAGCAGAGTTCATCCTGATATTGTGGAATGTCTACAAATAGAGTATTAGAGATGGACCTCACTACCATTCTTTCGGTATCTCATAGCAGGAGGTAAACAGATTTTAGACATGGAGATTCTGATTAGCCTTGGATAGAACTAGTCAGCTTGGTTTTTAAAAAAAAATCACATAGATTCATGGAAGATAGATTATGAAGCCATGTAGAGCTCCATTCAGATCTATGCATGATGACTCAGGAGTAAGCCTTTGTATAACTTTATGGTATGCAAAACACAGCTCAGTTTTAGGCATGTTTGTTCAAGAGTAAACTCTTGCACAACAGCTTTCAGGCATATTAACCAGTGCAGAAGTTAAAGCAATGAAGAGCCTTGTGGAACCTTAAAGACTGGGAAGTTTACTTCATGTAAGCTTTTATGGACTGTAGCCCGTTTTTTTCAGATGCACGCATTGGAAGATATGGCGCAGTTGTTAAACTGCTGTACTGCAGCCAAAATTGTGCTTATGACCCGTGGTTCAATTCCCAGGTAGCCGTCTCAAGGTTGACTCAGCCTTCTATCCTTCCGAGGTCAGTAAAATGAGTAACCAGGTCACTTGGGGGGGCGGGAATGTGTAGCCATCTTAATTAACTTGTAAACTGCCCAGAGAGTGCTTGAAGCGCTATGGGGCGGTATATAAGCAGCACACTTTTAAGGAGGCTTGTGCCAAATAAAATTGGTTGGTCTTTAAGATACTGTAATCTTGTCTACCTGTTTGTCTCTCTCTTCCTCATGTGGCTGCAACAGATTAACAGATGAAAATTTTTACTCAGATGTTTAAATACTCTAATTTAAAAGGCAGGGTATTTCAAGTTTGCCTTAGAATTCTCCGATATCAGTCAATGATTCTCAGAACTAAGCACAATGCCACATACAATGCAAGAACTCATTGAAAAAGTTGATAGGTTCAATGGAGAACACCTGTGGGCTAGACCCATGGGCTGTCCCCACAGATAGTAGACTTGCTACCTTTGTATGAATCAGTTCTACACATTATTTATGTATCGGGCTTGGTTAGAGGCATCAAGCATTAATGTACCTACCTTCAGAAGGCAGAAGACCATAGAGCTCATGGTGGTCCCCTTTAATGGTAATCAGAGTATTCAGTATTGCTCTGTGGTCTATTTGCATGGCATGAATTTACCCAAGTGCCACATTTTGTTTTTCTCTCTAGGAATAAAATCATAGCTATTCACTTGGATGACAGAAAACAGGGAAGGAAGACATGCATGACAACACTATGCATGCTCATTCTTTTGAATGTTTAGTTTACCAGTTTAAAAAAAAATGCAGTACTACATATACATAATCATATCTTACTGGTTGCACTACTTTAAAACTATCACATCAGAGTTATTAGCCATATTTGTTAACATTGGCTAAATTATGTACATCATGCGTTCGTGTTTTCGTAGTGCATATTTCATCTGGGGGCTTGATACAGTACTTGGACTAATGGTTGTTAACATTGTTATTAAGAAATAATTTAGCAAGCATGTTGGTCAAGGTATTCTGGGATTGTAGGAGCCTTCCCCCCCCTCAAAAAAAAGCTGGTGTTTATTTCCAACTCTGCCCACAACAATCATGTGAAATTGGTTAGGCTGAAAGAGAGTGACTGGTCCAGAGGGTCACCCATGAAACTAAGTGAATTTCATGGCTCATTGGGAACTTGGATCTGGAACTTTGACAATATTATTATAGACGACATGGAATTCAGTGGGTATACTCTAGCTAGGAGTAGCATTTTATTTAATATATTGCTTTTATTTTGGAAGCAGAAACTAAATTTTTTAAATTTCTACATAATTAACAGTGAATGCATAATTTTGCTCAAGTTCTGTAACACTGGAAAATGTAATTTCTTTTTTGCAATCTTTTTTCACTCAATCTTTTCCCTATCATTTTTTGATTTAACTTTTTCATTAACCTGGCTCAACAATTAAGGTTTTGACCCTTATTAATGTCTTTGTTCCTTTCAAACTAGGGAACATTGGACTTTCCAATATGCTGGAATGATTTTTATTTTGTTTACAATACCAGTACCTTAGTTAACCACTACATAATTTATATATTGAAAATTAGCTAATACATAATTTCAGATAATGCATAGTATATTTTGACTCATGCATTCAGGAAAGCCATTGTTTCATAAATTTGGAAACGTTTAAGAGTCAGTCCAAATTAAATTGTAATTTGGCAGGAAACACAGCCCAACAGTGAAGATAGAATCTCTGGTTCTGTTGTAATATTTTGCAATCTGATGGAAGTTTCCTTTAAGTTATCTTTTTCTTGAAATGACATGTAATGCAGCATA